CCCCTCCACATTTTACTTTACAAACTTAAGATTCACCTACATTTAAAAAGCTATGAAATAGTTTGGACATACAAAAAGGTATGAAGAATAATATAGTAATCAACATCCATGGGAACTTCACTCAGTTTTACCAAACGGTTGAGACCCCCGAAGACCCCTTTTCATCACATCCCCTCCTTTTCTACACTATTTGAAGTTTGATGTTTATCATCCGCTTGGGCACCTCTTTGCTTTGTAAGGACACATGGAAGTTCACCTAAACAACATACAGAGCAGCTTTACCTGGTGCCGAGTTTGCCACAGATGGTGTTCTTTCCTAACTTGTTTTCATTTCGCATTTTGTTTGTGAGAGTCGTTTGTTTTGTGGTGTGAAGCTATGATTCATTTTCACAGTGAGTAATTCTACCAACTATTTACTTTTCCATTCTCTTGCTGTTGGATATTTAGGTTGTTTCCAGCTTTTCGTTATTAAAAATCAATGCTGCTATAAACATTGCTGCATACGCTTCTAGTACACATGTGGCAGAGTTTCTCTTGTAATGTACATGGGGTGGAATTGCTGGGTCTCACGGCAAGTGCTTGCTCATGCTAATGAGCTCATGCAAACTATTTTCCAGACCAATCGTATCAATTTACATTTCCGATAACTGTGAATGAGAGTTCCCATTACACCCTGTCTTCAGCCACACGGGGTGTCGGCAGACTTTAGGTTTTGCCAATTGATAAAATTGAAATGGTGTGCCACTGTGCTTTTTATTTGCATTTCTCTGTTGACGGGGAAAGAAACCGCTTTATATTCTCCACAGCAGCTACTTCAATCTTGTTTTCTACCCCCGGGCTGCTCTACTTCCTCAGAATCTTCTGAAATCTGGCCAACTTTTAAGCTGCATTACCACAAGCCCAGAAACCGCTTCTCGGCACTGGGGCCAGGTGCGCAAGGGCCTGTCCAGGGCTCCCTGCCATCCAGGGCTGAGCTGGAGGGCCTTACCTGCAATGAGGCGGGTAGTGCTTGCCACAGACTTGTAGCCAAGAGTCGTGACCCCATTTTATAGATGAGAAAACAGAGAACAGAGGGTCAGGAACTTGCCCAAGGACACCCAGGTGGGACCTGGCAGGCCAGGTTTCAGGTGCTCTTCACTCCTCTGCCGGAGGCTGCACAGGGAGGTGCTGCTCAGGGCCCCTTCGCAGGAAGCCCAGTAGGGCACCCTCTGTCCTTCGCGGAGGAAGCACACCTACCTGGGGTCTGGTGTGCAGCTGGCAAGTAAGTTGCTGTCGCCCTCAGGAGCCCCGGTGAGAAGTCCCATAAATAGAAGGATTCGGGGCGGTGGGATGCGGGGGAGTTCCCACTCGGTTGGGTGGGAACACGAGGAGAAGACGTCATCCATTGGTCATGGCTGGTGTTTCCCAGAAGCCAGCGGCCTGTTTTCGCTGGTGGTAAACATCCCCGGGCCCATCTGAAAGAGTTAGACCCTTTTCAACCTTCTCTCAATCCACTGATGGCCGAGGGCGTGAGCATCTCGGTTTGGTGCTAGGATGTTTTAATCGCCTCTTGGACACTCTTCCATCCCCCTTCAAACAAAGGCACACAAAATCTCAGGTCCTAAGTCTTAAGCAGGGGTCGCATCTTCCTAAAATTCAATGACTGTCTTTTGTTTTTCTTGTATTTAGTTTTCATATTTCACTGTATTTGGTTTTATGGTGAGTTGACTGTTTTGTGTAAGAAACACTTAGATAACATCTACTATATGCCAGGGTCTGTTCCAAATGCTTTACAAATATTGACTAATTTAATGTGAAAAAACTTATGATGCAAGTACTGCTATTACTATTTCCATTTCACCCTGCGGACCCCGAGGCCCAGGAAGTAAACTTCTCAAGGCCTGGGAGAGACGGGACAGAGCTATGCAAATGGCAGCGCGGGGATTTGACCCGAGGCACGCTGGCCCCAAGTCTGTGTTTTAATGACTGTGGTACACCCTGCCTCTCCGTTTCATGCTAATTACCTGTCAATGGTAGTGATAGTGCATCTTCCTTTGTGACATGTTTATTGGGGCGGAAACAGGAGGTAAAATAAAGACACATGGCAAATAGAAAACAGCACGGTGGAAACCTTGACTGCAGTGAGTGGTAGGAGTTCTGGAACATTTCAAGGTGGCTTCCTGGATGCAGGGACAAAGCAGGTGGGCCGTGAAGGCAGAGGCTAGAGTGATGGGAAGGAAAAGGGTGTTCAAGGAGAAGACAGCATGAGAATTTGCCTCATGCAAAGGCAGAGAGGCATGGTGGGCCTGGGGTGCGAGGAGGATTCTGAGTAGTTCAGATCAGTGGAACAGTAACAGCAGGAGTCCAGCACCCTCGTATAGTCGCTGGCAGTCACAGAGCACTGCCCCGTCTGCTTTCCCACGGACTCCCCTTCACGGCCAGGTGCCGTGGGCATTATTGTCCCCATTTTAGAGATGGGAACTGAGGACAGAGAGTGAAGGCCCAGAAAAGCTCCAAGATCCTCTGGCTTCAAATTCTGGGCCCTTTACTCTATCGGATAGAGTCTATCCCACTGTATCAGGTTTCTTTGGTGGCAAGCAACAGAAGCATAATTCCACATGGTTGAGCAAAACAAGTTCCCCGCCCCCCCCCCTTGGCTTATGTAAATGAGGAGTCCAGGCATGGACTTCAGGTACGGCTGGATCCAGGTCCTCAAATGAAGCCACGGGGCTCTAGTCTGTATCGCTCCGTACTGGCCTCATTTCCAGGCAACCTTTCTGCAGTAGGTGACAGAGATGGGTACCAGCGTCCAGTGGGCACCCCCAAAGCCCCTCTCAATTAGAGTTCTAGAAAATTCCCAGGACGGCTCTCACGGGCATGCCCGGGCTGCTGCCCATTCTGACCCGGTCCCCGCGGCTAGGCCGGTGGGTGCTTTGCTGGGGCGGCCTGGGCCAGGTGCCCACCCTAGGGAGTCCCAGCCAGTTGGAGGAGCGCCTCATAAGAGGGGCAGAGACGCCAGGCGGACAGAGCAGCAGCTCCCCTCCACCCCCAGGGCCTGTGTGTCATTTGTGTAGAACTGAGGCATGTTGGCCGAGAGGACCCTTGGATCTGGGTGAAGGAATTTGTGCTTTATCCTGCAGGCAAGGCAGAGCTGCTGGGGAGAGACGGGACAGAGCGATGCAGGGCCTTGTGCTGGGCGGGGGCCCAGGTGTGGACACGCTAGTGAGGCGCAGGTCTGGCTCCGTCTCCTGTGGTGGGAGGTCCAATCCTCCAAGTGCGGTAACAGGACTGCTGCTGGGCTTGGGGCCAGGTCAATGGGCTTCAAAGCAGCTTTATGAGGGGTTTCCCCCAACATTATCGTTAAAAAACAACAACCCACATATTTTTATTGATTTCACGGAGAGGAAGGGATAGGAAGAGAGAGATAGAAACATTGATGAGAGAGAAACATCAACCTACTGGGGATCGAGTCTGAAACCTGGGCATGTGCCCTGACCAGGAATTGAACCAGCTATCTCCTGGTGCATGGGCTGGCGCTCAACCACTGAGCTACACCGCTATCATATTAAAATACGGGCTATCGTATTTTAATAGCAACGTTATTCATTTTAACGTGTGTTGGGAAAATTGCACAACTATGGAGATTATTGCTTAGGATGAGGTTGGAATTAATTTTGTAAGTAACTTCATTTATAGAAAACATTAAATAAACAAATGATCTGCGAATATGGCCAACATTTTGAAAGTGAGACATTTGGGGAGCTCTTGGCTAGGTCCTTCTGGAATGCCTCCATTTCTGAAGCTCTAAATTCTGTATCAATCAGGGCTCTTTATTATTGAGTGTTTGGGTGTCAGGGGCATGCAAATCACTCTGAATTCTCACAAGAATCCTGGAAGTGGGCTCTACTGTTTCCTGCAAGGCTCAGAGAGGGCAAGTGACTGGCCCAGAGCCACACAGCTGGTAATCTGACCCTCTCCGTGCCCTTCGCGGCTGACTACTTGGTGACTTAGAAGGGAGCTCAGAGCGAGCTCTTGATGGGGCCGGAGTAGGATCTTGGGAACCCCGGTGTGTGTGTTGGGGTGTCCCGCTGTGGGCTCAGGGCTGGTCTGGAAGAAGCCAGGTGTGTGACTTGCTCCCTGCATGGATCATCCCTGTAGGCTCCAGTTCCAGCCATTCCCCTGTCCGTGGGGGAGGTCTGGGTGGGGATCCTGGCCTGGCAGGGGGGCCCACTGGCCTCTGGCTGGCACCTCCCCAAGCAGACACAGAACTGGGGATGCAGTGGGCAAGGCTGGCACTGCCAGCCTGGTGGGTTGTTCCTGCCAAGGGCACCAGAGTCCACTCCTCCTGGATGGACTTGCTGTTCTCCACAAAGGTCTCTTCTCCATCTCACCTAGACCGGGGCGCCCAGGTCCCCTTTGGTTGGCGGGGTCTGGGTTTCCAGGGCGCTGCCTCGCGGGCAGCCTGGGCTTTGGATTGAGTAAAGGCTCATGGGACGAACCTTATCTTCGGGACCCAGTCGGGGTCTCCTTTGTGGGTGAATCTTAGATTCGTTGTTTAGTGAGGAGACAATTTACAAGGCTCACGTCAACACGAGTGTCTTACGGGAGGGGGCACTCAAGATTGCAACTCATTGAATATCACTTTCCAAACCCGCGTCCCCTCCCCGCTCCTTCCTCCTCAGCTGCGTAAATGCCCACATGTAACCCCACACACAGTGTAGACGGAGTGTGTGGGGGAGAGCAGCGAGCCCCTCCCTCTTTGAACTCACCTGTCACTTGTGACTGTGTAAGGGGGACAGGAAGAAGGTGGGAAAAGTGGGAGGGGGACCCACGGGGGGGCTGTTTCCAAGGGGCAGGGATTCTTGGGAGTGTCCTCGGGCTCCTCAAAATCTTGTTTTTCTGAGACACATTCAGGAATCTGAGGCAAGTCTCCCAAGGGAGGGATGGGGACCGGAGGGAGGCTGTCCAGGGTCCCTTGATCCCCAGGCCGGGGCCCACCGTCTGCTGTGCGTCTCTTTCAGGCCCGGAGTCAGCATGCCGTGTGGCTGGGCCGCCCCCCTGCTCCTGCTGCTGCTCCAGGGTGGTGAGTAGCTGGCCCGCCTCTGCAGCGGGCGGGTGGGCGGGCGGGCCTGTGGGCTCTGGGTCAGAGTCCGTGGCACGTGTCCACTGGAGGCGGACACAGGGGGAGCTGCCGGCTCTCCACGCACCAGAATTCACCTACCCAGAGCACCTCATTAGCCAGGTTCGGGCAGGTCCAAGCAGCCCGGCCCTAGCTTGGGTCTTTGAGGCTCACTGGGGCCCTGGGAGACCGCACCCTGCATTCCCGTGGCCCTGCCGTGGCAGGGCGTCAAACTCCCCCCTCCCCCCGTGAGGAAGTCCTGCCTCTGGTCCCACCTCATCTCCTAGGGGAAGTTCTTCAACCATCACCGCCTGCCTTCAGGCACTGATGCTCCCAGTGGGGAAAAGGGGGTGAGGACCAAAGTAGCAGAACCTTAAAGGTTCTGGAGAAGCTGCAGCTGGTGGGGGTGCGGGGGGGATGTCAGACACGGAGCTGGGGAAGGCCAGGAGTTAGACACGGGGCACGGCCAGGGCTGAGAGATGCAGGAGGCCTTCCCAGAGGAGGGGCGATGCAGCACGCAGGCTCCAATGGGGCTGGACGGGGGCAGGGGCCCTTCAGCCACTCGCTGACCATCAGCATTTCTCTCTGGTTTTTACTTAAAGACCCAGAGCCTCGAATCGCTCCTTCAGCAAACAGGTGTCAGGCTCCTGTCCCGGGCCTTGCTGAGTGGCCGCACTCTGCCCTGGCTCTCACAGGCTTTCGGGGTACCCCCCACAGCACTGCACCTATGGACACCAGTAGGGAGCCCCGCTATGCATGGTGCCGAGTGCCGACTCAGCCCATGCTCCTGACAGCCCACCAGGCCCATGCCGAGAGCCGCCCAGTTCTCAGTTGAGAAAACTGGCTCCGAGAGTGTCAGACACAGGTCATGGCCACATGACGGGCGGCGGCAGCCTTGGGGTCAGGCCACAGGTGTGCTGATTCCCGTGGTCACCTGGCTTGGCTGCTTTCCTGGAGCACGGGCTGCACGTGTGACAGACAGCACATGCTCACCTCCACACCCTCCAGGGACCATGTCCCCCGTTACAGGTAGTGGCCCGAGTGGCCTGAGGCACGTGTCCACGCTTTGGTAACCGCAGGCCAGGGACAGCCCTGAGGCTGTCGGCCCAGGGGCAGGGCCAACCAGGTGGCTGGGTTTTTACTCCCTCTGGCCCCTGATGTCACCTTCATCCCAAAGCAGTGCTCATTCTCCACAAGTGCCCAGAGGGGAGCCTAGAGCCCGAGTCATTTCCCAGCCCCGGCCCGCGGGAGGCCTCTGAGGCCACGCCCAGGGAGTGTCCTGTCCACTAGCATTGCCTGCCCGTGTGTGGAGGGCGGACGCCAGGACTTTCCAGAGCGGTGCTCCGGGCTCGGAGCCCAGCTTCTGACCTGGGTCCCCATGAGTCACGGGAAAGTAAGGAAAAGCCATTGAAGATGAAGCTACTTAAACCGGGGAACACATTTCTGTTAAATGGTGGGAGGGAGGGGGGAAGAGCAGCACTGGCACTTGATCTGATAAAACAAAACTAAAACTTATTACGTTTATTTTGTTAAATACGGAACAAAATTGAGATTCTGACCCACTTAGTTAGTTCTGTCTCATTAGGAGTGTCTTGTCCCCGTCGCTGGCCTTGAAACTTTGGGGGCTCAGACAAGAAATCTTAGGGCACAAGGACCTCCTTGCTTCAGTCCCACATCTTGGTGGCCCCTGACTCACCGTATTCATCCTGGTCCTGGGACCCGCCTCCACTCATCCTCCAGCCCTGGACGGGCTGAGGGAGCGGGGAGCTCTGCAGCCCCTCCCAACCCCTACCAAGGCCTCTCTCTCCCTTGCCCTGCAGCCTGGGGTTGCTCAGACCTTGTCTGCTACACCGATTACTTCCGGACGGTCACCTGCTTCCTGGAGACGTGGACCCCCCACCCCAGCGTGCTCACCCTCACCTGGTAAGTGGCTGGGCCTCACCGGCCCTCGGAGTGCTCCTCAGGGGGGCCTGGTCCCAGCACAGGACCGCAGGAGACCATGAGCTGAGTTGGACCTACTGTGTGCCAGATAGGTAGTTTAGCAATAAAGACAAGAGCTGCCGCTTCCTGGGGGCTCACTCAGCAACTTCACCCACAGCATTTGGTTTTACCCCAAGAAAGACTGTGAGATGGGAATCACTGCGCCCATCTTGCAGACGACCACCCAGGGCTCATGGGACTTGTGCAGAGAATGACTGAGAGGCGTAGGGCAGCTCTGTCCAGCTCTAAGGCCATTCTCCGTCATTCACGCAGGCCTGACTATGGTTTTGAGACGCCGAGGCGACCGGACTCCCACACGATGTTTTTGAGCACTTAGTACATGCCAGGCAGCCCGCCATGTGCTTCACATGAATGACCACCTCCGGTCCTCACAATTAGGACTCTCATTTTACAAGTGAGGGCACTGAGGTTCAGAGAGGTTATGCAACTTGCCCGAGGTCACACAGCCAGCGAATGGCGGACCTGGTTTCAAACCCAGGCAGCCTGACTCCAAACTCCACGGGTCCTCATAAGTCCATATTGTTAAAGAAAAAAAGTCATGCATGACACTTGTTCAAGAACGGTAGGGCGGACTTTATTAAAGACCATCGTGACAGGCGTAGGGGCCACTGTACAAGGTTTTGCTGATTGGGCTCAACTCGGAACACAACAAGGAAAAGCTGGGTTTTATAGCCAAGGAGCAGGGTGGGGTCAGTGCATGAAACCACGAGGCAGGAACACCAGGGGTCTGAGGGCTCCGGGCTAATCCGACCTAACAGGGCTCCTGCTGAGGCAGCCCAGGGGGACCAGACTCCACCGGGGGCTGGTGGAGGAGGAGGAACCCACTTTGGCATTGAGGGTGGGGCTTCTGGCTGGACAGACTTAGCAGGAGTCTTGCTCAAAGTAGACGACGCAGAGACAGACACGGAAACCCAAAAGTCAGGGCCACGGTGGTGAGGAGAGTTCAGAGGAGCCTGCGTAGCGTGCGGCCAAGGAGAGACTTTGCCATCACCCACTCGTTCATCCATTCACACGGGCACTTTGATTAAGCTCCTGCCTGACACGTGCAGGCACTAGTGACTCATCAGAGGCCCAGCCGTGAGGTCCCAGGTGTCCTGGAGCTGACACACGCAGCGGGAGTGGCTGGTGAGACACACACACACACACACACACACACACACACACACACACACACGCAGCCAGCAGGATGCTTTCTGAGTACAATGAGTGCTGTCAAGAACAGGAAGCTGGACCCCCTGGTAGAGAGCAAGTGACGTGGGGGAGGGCCAAGGGGTCGGGGCAGCCTCTGTGGGTGAGGAGGAGGCAGCCGGTGAGCTGGGGAAGGGCCGTCCAGGCAGAGGGCACTGCATGTGCAAAGGGCTCAGGCGGGGAGAGCTGGAGAGCTGGAGGCATGGTGAGGAGGTCGGTGTGGCCAGAGGGGGCTGAGCCAAGTGAAGAGGAACAGCAAGTACAGGAGGCGAGAGGGTGGCAGGGCCGGGCTCTGTGGTGTGGGCGGTGAGAAGCCACCGCAGAGTGTTAGGCAGGGGAGTGACGGGGAGTTTTTAAAGGCCCCCTGGCAGCTGCGCAAGTGAAAGAGATCGCAGGGAGGGCGGGCAAGGCGAGGACCCCCCCAGGCAGCCATCACAGTGTCCAGGCTAGAGGCTTGGAGAGCATTGATTCAGGAGACGTTTCCATTCCAGCCAACATTTAGCAGAGCTCTGAACCCACACGTCCATACTGGCCCTGGAGGTGGTCATGTTCCGAGCCTGAATTTGTAGGTAGTGGGGGCGGGGGGGGGGGGGGGGAGCGAATAGCTCGTGAACTTCTATGCATCCTTCAAAACCCATTGTTTCTGCCCAGTGGGAGTTAAAAAGCCAGCACATTTCCCCCAACCCCAGATTAACTACCTCCCTGGAAGTTCACCAGAGCAGGACGGAGCTTCGCGTGGCTCTTGGTTTGGTGTCCGGTGGATTTTGGATGGAAGGAGAGTGGGAAGGAGGCCGGAAATGCTTAGCGCCCTTCCTGTGGGACAGTGATCCAGGAGATGGAGCGGACAGGGTCAGAGTTAGAATGCATTCGGGCAAGAGTGGCCCGATTTCTGCAGTTGAGATTTGCTGCTCTGAGTGATGGAGTGAGTCTGGTCGCTTGAAGGTGTGCAAGCCCGGAGCCTGGACCAACCCACCAGGGCTGCTCCAGGGGAGGGTAAACCTTCCCTGGGGAAAGGCTGGTTGGACTAGGTCAGTGGTCAGCAAACTCATTAGCCAACAGAGCCAAATATCAACAGTACAATGATTGAAATTTCTTTTGAGAGCCAAATTTTTTAAACTTAAACTATATAGGTAGGTACATTGTTATTAATTAGGGTACTCCTAAGGCTTAGGAAGAGCCACACTCAAGGGGCCAAAGAGCCGCCTGTGGCTCGAGAGCCGCAGTTTGCCGACCACGGGACTAGGTGAGCTCCAGCCCCATCTCCTGCCCCTCCCGTGCACTGAGCCCCGCCGGCCACTAGCCGTGACTGGCTGCTCTGTCCTCGAAGGCAAGACCCCTACGGAGAACTGGAGGATGAGGTCACCTCTTGCAGCCTCCACCGGTCCACGCACAATGCCACTCACGCAAAATACACGTGCCACATGGATGTGTTCCGCTTCATGGCCGACGACATTTTCAGTGTCAACATGACAGACCAGCCTGGCAACCGCTCCCAGGAGTGTGGCAGCTTTGTCCTGGCCGAGAGCCGTGAGTACTTGGAGGAGAACCCAGGCGGGGTTGGGCCCCACGCTCCCCGGGCCGGCTCCCGCTGCCTCTCGTTGGAGGTCGGCCCTGTAGATGCGGCGTTTGCCAGGTGTGGGGTGGCAGCGGGGCCTGGCCTGAACCAGAGACAGGCAGCAGGGAGTGAAGGAGCTCTGGGACCGGGACCTGGGGCTGCAGTTCTGGTTCAGCCCTGTGACCTTGCACTATAGAACGAGAGCCCCTTAAACTCTGACCTCTGGGATTCTCTCCCAGTGTGAGGCAAGTGGGGGACTCTGAGTCACAAGAGAAAACCTCCCCAAGTTTCCTCCCATCATTAGCTCCAGGAGGCGGGGAGGAGGCCCAGGGACAGAAGGGACCTGTCTGGTGGAAGCAGTTGTCTTTGTGGGTCCAGAGCCAGGGTGGGGCAGGGAAGGGGCCGGAGGCAGCTTTTAGTGTGATGTGAGCGCAAAGTTGGGTGTCCAGGTAGGGAGTGAGAGGCCTGTCCCCAGAGGCATGCAGAAACGAACCGCCAAGAGAATCCGCCCTCGGGAAGGCGCAGGCCTGCGGTTTGGCAGTGTCTGCCTCCCGGGCCCCAGTGGAGGGGCAGGGGACACGCAGGTGTCTGTCATTCACACTCTGGGGTCCAGGTCTGCACCACTTTGCTGAGTGGAAGTCACACCACAGAGCATGTGAGCAAACTTCACACACACCCAGGCACACCCAGACTTTCACACGCACACACACACACGGACACACCCAGACTTTCACACGTGCATGCACACACACATGGACACACACACACATGCATGGACACACCCAGACTTTCACACACGCACTCGCGCACACACACACGGACACACACGGACACACATGGACACACGAACACTCATAAACCCCCTCAACCCCTGGCCTAGACAGCACGGACATAGATGCCCACATTCTCATGTTTATGCACACGCATGCACACACATGCACACTCACTCAGCCATTTAGATCCAGGTGTGTTGGTTTACCGAGCAGGGGTGCCCTCCTATCTCCCTGAGAGCTGGGCAGGCAGAGGAAGGCACAGGGCAGGGCTGCCCCTCCACCTGGCATTTCTCCGGCTCTCCCTCCCTGCTCCTGCCAGGGTCTGAGGCCAGGCCTGTGCTCAGCGGTGGAGGAGGCAGTGTCCTGTCCCTGGGCAGCCTTCCCCGGCCCCTTGGTCCTCCTGGGCCCTGGGCTGCGCCAGCATCTCCCGAGTTGAGTTCCCCTGTGAATTGGTCCTTACCAGCCAATCAGGCCCCCGCCGGCCTGGGAGGAGAGAGGAGGGCTTAGGGACTATTTCAGTTCAGAGGGACCCGTGGCTGAGAGAGCAACCACCACAAAGCGCTCAGCACGGTGTGAATGTGCGCCTTCTTGCACCTCAGGCCGAGGGCGGAGTCGGCTTCAGAGCTCCTTTTGGAACACCTGGATTTAACAGGCATTTCGTGAGGGCCTACTGTGTGCCGGACTCTGTCCTCGGAGGTGCAGGCACAGCACTGACCCGGGAGAACTAACCCTCTGCCCCAAGGAGCTGAGATCCCAGAGAGGGGGTGGCAAGCAGCTCGGAGAAGGCGGGTACGGGCACAGGCCCTGCTTCCCTCTGACAGGAGCAACTTGCCATTGGCTCCCCTGACGTGCCCTCCTTCTCTACTCAGCTTGGTCCATGGATGTTCACTCCGTGTGATAGGAACCCATTCCCTTTTCCAAGAGAGGCCATGAAGGCACGCACTGTGGTGTGTCCTGCTCAGGTTGAAAGCAGATTTGGGAGGGGCCTGGGGCCGCGTGTGTGGTCCAGATCGCAGCGCTTACCCTTTTGGGGAGGTGCCTGTGAGGTTCGGGCGGTCACACTCACAGCCACTGTGGGTCGGGCTGCCCAGCTGGTACATTCCCGCCACAGCAGGACACACAGCAGGACACTCATTGCAGCCGAGTTCTGCAGAGCAGAGTCATCAGCCCCTCGCTGATCAGGGTCCTCTGCCTTCTCAGGGCCGACGGGGCTCACTGACGCCCTCACTGACAGCAGAACTAGAGAACCTGCGGGTGTGGCCACCAGGGAGCTTAGAAAGGCCTGGATCAGCAGCTAACTTTAACATTTGAGCGATTTCCTACAATAATCTGGGCTTTCCGGGTCTTTCCTTCCTGGCCACCCTGGTCTGCATTCCTGCCCGGCCCCTGTGCGCTGGGAGGGCTCTTTATAGTTTAGTGCCCACACCTGCTTCACCGTATCTGTCACCTGCCGCCTCTGAATTGGCAACCCCACAGCAGTCCATTTTTCAGATGAGTAAACTGAGGCCCGGAGACAGGGGAAGCTTCACCCAGCCACCCAGGGCCACTCATCCTGGTCACAGAAAGGATGGGCCACCAGGGCATGTCCAGCTGATACAAATCTCACCCATTTTATCTTTCTGGCTTTTTTCTTTAAGTCAAGCTGTCTCCTCCTTTCAACGTGACCGTGACCTTCTCAGAACATTATAACATCTCCTGGAGCTCCAATTACGACTCCTACGCGCTCAAGGGCAAACTGCAGTATGAGCTGCGGTACAGGAAGCGGGGAGACCCCTGGACGCAGGTGAGACTGCAGAGAATGGGCAGGCTGGCGGCGGGGTGTCGGGGGGGACGTGCAGCGCATCTGCGTGGGGGAGGGGAGTGCCCGGGAGACCGGTGAGCTGGTCATTCACAGCCAAGAATGGAAACCCAGGACACACCCAGGATGGAGCTCCCCTTACACGCTCTCATGCTGCCCTCTCCCCTTCTCCCTGGGGTAGGAGGCCCCTTAAACCTGTTTCCTTCCCGTTCCCGGGTCCTGTCTACCAGCTGCCAGAGGAAGGGGCTGGCACCTCTGCAGGTCCCGCCTCGTGTCTAGCGACAGTAGTTGTTTCAGAATTGGGGGCTTGGAACTGTCCCCCTTTGCTTAGGACGGCCGGCCGCAGTTGAGGAGTTCCAGAAGCTTCCATAACCAAAAGGTCCGGGGTCAGAAGGACATTGTTTCCAAGCTGAAGGCCCAGCGGTGTCCTCTGTCTAGGTGTCCAAGGGTTCCAGATGGCCGCTGTTAGAAGGGCTCCAGCGTTCTCTACCCTTTAGAATGGCCCCAGCTGAAGGTTTTCATGGTTTAGTCTGTCCCCGTGGAAGACTCCCGAGGTTTCCACGGCTAAGAGGCCTGTGGTTGGAGCCTTTCAAATGCCCGCTGTGGAGATGCCCGCTGTCTGGAACGCTGCCCGTTAAGCACTGCCAGGAGTGGCCGCCGCCGCTCCTGGGACAGCCCCAGTCCCAGCAGGAGGGTCCCCTGCTGTGGGATCAGAGAGCCATGAACAAGCATCGTGACCTGGGCAAGGCCGCGAGTGCCTATGGCTCTGCGCTGCCCACACTGGGGCGGCCAGAACTCCAGCTGGGGCCTGGCTCTCGGGCAGGGAGTGCAGACCCAGGAGAGGGCTTGGGGGGTGGTTCTGCTGGGGGTGGGGGTGAAGGCAGGGCCGCCTGCTCGCCCTCACAGCGCGTCCTTCCCCTGTGCTGGCAGAGTCCGGGGAGGAAGCTGATCTCGGTGGATGTCAGGAGTGTCTCCCTCCTGCCCTTGGAGTTCCACCCAGGCGCCAGCTATGAGCTGCAGGTGCGGGCGGGGCCCCAGCCCGGCTCCTCCTTCCAGGGGGCCTGGAGCGAGTGGAGTGACCCGGTCCTCTTTCACACCCAGCCAGAAGGTAGGTGTGAAGCTGGGTGGACACCCACTCTTGGTGCCAAGCCTTGTCCTGAGCCCTGAGACGTCCAGCGTGGTGCAAGGTATCCACTCAGCTGAGCCATATCCCAGGAGTAGCCATTTGACAGTCGGGAGCCCCTGCTTGCAGGCCCTGCGTGGGGTGCCAGGGGCCTCTCCTGCCAGGCTGTGCGTCTTCCTATCAGTCTGTGAAGCATCCTTAGCCCCATTTTGTAGATGAGAAAACTGAGGCCCAGCAGATAAGGTCACTGACCCAGGGTGGGGGTGGGAGGGGGATTTGAACCCCCACCCATCTCACTTCAAGGCACCGAAGCCTTCCCAGCCCCTTCCCCTCCACCCAGACCCCTGCCCACCACCCCACGCCACGTGCCTCTGTAGAGGTGGGTTCCATGTGACCCACTATGTGCTTCTTCCCAGAGTTCAAGGCAGGCTGGCACACGGACCTGCTCTATCTCTTCCTGGTCTTCACGCTCCCCATCCTTGTCTACTTAGGTCTGAAGATCCGCCTGCCTTGGAGGTGAGGCCAGGGGCTCAGGGAGGGGGGGGATGGGGTCAGCCTGGGCCACAGCCCCTCTGTGACTCACCCGGGCTGGGGCACACCCGTCCTGGAGACGGTGGCCATGACAGGGGTGGTGACAATGACCAGCTCCCGGTTTCCTACGTGCTGGGCGCTCACTCAGCCCTCACAGCCGCCCCGTGAGCTGGATGCAGACAGTGACCTCCATTGGACAAATCCGGACACTGAGGCCCGGAGTCGGCAGGGACCCTGCCCAATTCACACGGCTGTGAAACAAAGGAGGACCTTGACCCCTGTGCTCTTTTTCTTTGTTTTTTGGTGAATCCTCACCGGAGGATCCTTTTTTCCATTGAATTTTTAGAGAGTGGAAGGGAGGGAGGTTGGGAGGGAGGGAGGGAGAGAGAGAAACATCCATGTGAGAGAGACACACCCATTGGTTGCTTCCTACACATGCCCCAACTGGGGGTGGGGATTGAACCTGCAACCCAGGTTTGTGGCCTTGACTGGAAATTGCCCCTTTGATGTGTGGGCCGACGCTCTAACCACTGAGCCACCGGCCGGGCTGAATCCTGTGCTCTGAACAGTGGCCTCAGCTGTGATTGTGTCAGGGAATTCTAAGCTTTGACCTGGGGGGCACGAGGGACTGCCAGGTGGGGTGACCACCCCCCCTGCCTCAACCCGAGGTTTTGCTTTTATTTGTTACGTGTTGGTTTCTGCTGAGCGTGGTCCCCGAGAGGAAGGTGCTGCTGACGGCGAGTCCAGCATGGGCTCCCCTGGCCTCCGAGCGCGGCCGGTTATGGTGGGGCCTCGCCCGGGGGCAGCGCGTCCTGGTCCTCTCGGTCTAGAGACCGAGCCAGAGCCGGAGGCGGCGCCATGGCTCAGGGCGCTCCTGGTGCTGGGTGCCGGGTGCACCCCGAATCCCCCACAGCCCCGAGGAGCTGGCCCTTTGCCCACCTGGCCCTAGAGGAGGAGCCGGGGCTCAGAGGGGCAGCGCTCACCAAGCACACAAAGGGCGGTGGAGCCCTCATGCCTTCAGGAGCCGTGGGCGACTTGCTGCCTCAGTTTACAGATGTGGACATTGTGGCTCAGGGCAGGCGGCAGGGGGGTGGGCAGGGACAGGGTGGAAAGGAGGCACTTGGGTGTGTCTTGGGAGGCGCTGAGACTCCTGTAGGACAAAGTTGGGGAGCATCTGAGGGGGAGGCCGGGCTGCCCTCCGTGAGATCAGGGGCTTACCTTCTCTCTGCCCTCCCAGGCTGTGGAAGGTGTGGGTGCAGGTGCCCAGCCCCGAGCCATTCTTCCAGCACCTGTATGTGAACCACAGCGGGAACTTCAAGGTGAGAGCCCCACCCGACCAGCCCCTTGACACCTCTTACCCTCTCCAAAGCCCCCTCCAGCCCCAGCCCAG